GGCCGTCTAGTCCCGGCATAGAATAGGCCACCCCTTCCATTCCCGTGGGTGTCGTAAGAGGCGACTAAGGGAGGGCGAGGGATGGACAGCGGCGTCCCTCTTGAAACATCTCTAAAGACTGACTGCGGTTGCCAATTCACCTGCCAAGCGTGGCAACTACTGGCAAAACCCCTTAGGGAGAGGCTTGAGAGAGCAGTGGACAATTAAAGGCTGGTATGATGATGGTAGATCTTTGAGAATTAAATATTGCAGTGATGAAAAATCATACATGCATACATACATATTTGTCACGACCGTCTCCCATTAGGGTAGGCAGAAACAATGCAACGCCAAATGCTTCGATTCAAACAAACAATTTAAAAAAAATCATAAACCTATTGCATCTATTGAACTGTTTTGTCTCTTTCTTTTACACCAAATTCTCAGTTTGAATGAAAGTAACAAAACAGTGTAATAGTTAAAGTAGATTTGTAGAAAGATTTTAGTTTACGAACAAGATTAGATTACATTGGTATATATATATATATATATATATATATATATATATATATATATATATATATATATATATATATATATATATATATATATATGTTTTAAAATTATTATCGAATGGTATTTCAGAATAGACTCTATTATATTTTAATTATGTAAGGATTGACTTGTGTGTTTGTTTGTAGCAATAATTTATTTTAAAGTAAAACAATTAAATTACAGAATACAGAAATCAAATGTATTTTGCATTCTCGATAGAAAATACACACAAGTCAATTCGGTACAATAAAAATATGATATGAAAGATTAAAAAAATCCCAATTGAAACTGTTTCCGTGATATGTAACGCAGCGCCATCTAGTTAAAACAGAGCTTACTAAAGATACTAAATTAATTCATAAACATTTAATTAAACTTTTATTTCTGTAAAACATACACACAATGCGTAGAAAAAAAAAGTTTAGAGCAATATCAATACAAACCGATATTCTCACAATACAAAAGTGTGTATTGTGCAGGGATCAAACCGACCTAGTGACGAAGTGTGATAAACATACTACCCTATAACCTATATACGTAAACAGCATTCTATTCTGTTTATTAGAAAAAAAAATCTGAATTTACAGGGTACAGAGGAATAACACCTGAGTCCTCAGGAATGGCAACGCATGGGGGGTATCATGGGCGAAACAGTATACTCTGTTATGTCCACGGTACTGCTCATGTCTATAGGCGACGGTTCCCACTTTCCATCAGGTGGGCCGTCAGCTTGTTTGCCATTCTAAGTTGTATGGAAAAAAAATATTTTCCCACAATCGTCTCACATTTCTCATTCAATTGGAGATGATGTACAATGACTGGACCCAATGTGAAACATAAGAGATATTTCTTTTGGAATTATGAAAATTCTATTAAAACTTTGACGTTTCAATTATATTATTTAAAATTATCTTAGAAACTAAGCTTATGTTTTATAGTCATTTAAAAAAAGCATTATCTCTTTCTATTTAGAATTATTAGACAAAGACAGAATGCTAAAAGAATGGACACGCGTCATGCCTTAGATAAATCAGCACCAAAAATTATTTTATCACATTTTTTACAATAATAATAAATATATTCATTATACAGACAAGAATTGTTGTTACTGGCAACATTCGAAAAATAAAAGGAAATAAAAATAAATACATTCCCTATTTGGTTCTAAATTTAAAATTTCTACCAATTATAACGCATTTTGGCGCCATCAGTAGACGCATAAAATTTTTATAATTTCACAGGTAACAAGCTGACAATTTTACGTACTGTTTCAGAACGCATTATGTTTTTAACAGTGCGTAGATTTTTGTAGATAATGGTGTTGCCATAAATCGAATTTTCAAAGCTATAATTTTAATATCTCGTATTTAATTATTCAAAATTCATAACCACGTGATTAATTAATAATTTTTGGTCCCTCTAAAGGCACATTAATATGAAAGTAATAACAATATCAATTTAAAACACTGAATCTAAAACTAATTAATAAATAAAAGCTTAGGGTTGCCATCTAGATTAGATATTTAATAGAATTAGAGAAAAAAAAAAATGAACCCAGATGTGGACGACAGAAGCGCCATGCCTGGAAACCCATAAGCTTTCAAGAGACAATGAATGCCGTATATTTTAAGGGCATATTACACGAGCAATTTCAAAGCGGTCACGCGACGATGTCGTCGCAACATCGTCGGAGTTGCCATTAAAATTATTCGTGTTTGTATATGATACATATATATAAATAAATAAATATAAAAATGGTGTCTGTCAATATTGGACCTTAAGCTTAGCGATGAAAGCTTGTGGCTTTGTTAAGATGACAAGAGAGAGCGACTCGCATTACCAACCCGTGAAATATGCGGCTGTGATTGGCGTGGCATATCTAACTTTACAATTGAACCTGTCTTTATCAAATATGAGCATGAGAATCGAGTACTTATGTGCTATTTTGAATTAATTGCGATTAACTATCGAAAATAAATTGCGTATATATATATATATATATATATATATATATATAATATTTTATTTATTTAAAAGCATGCAAAATACTTATTAAAGTATTACAAATTTTTAATTAAAATTAACGCGGTTGGTACTACATATAAGATATGAATTCAATAACAAACATGTAAATAACTCCAGCTGCCTGCTAACGACACGCTTCCCAACTGTATCGGATTGACTGGAAGAGATCTCTGTCAGAGACAAGTCCACCCTCGCTCACAACATTTATAAATGCATTATTTTATATGTAACTTACAAGTGCAATAAAGAATATATATATATATATATGACTGTAATCCCAAATCGGGTGGTCAGAGCAAATATCACTTATTGATACAAAATGTCACGGTAAAAATATCTGGTAACATATGTTTTGTTTAAAGCTACAGTAAACGCTAGATTTCATTGTATCTAATTTTAAAAATTTACCTTTTGTGAAGTGAAATTAAATCGTACTTGGGTGTCAAATATGAACAATGAATCCACGCTATTGTATAAAAAATATAGGCTTAAAAAAATTTATACTTCTATAAACAATTGAAGAGTGCTGAAGTATAAAACACTTCGAGTAGATACACCAGCTAGATACACCACATTACAAGCACAGCGGTAGTTAAAAGAGCTCACACTGCTAGACTGGTAACGTTAGACTACCCGTAAATATACCAACATATTAAACAATTTGATACACGTTGAAATATACATAAAAAAAAAAAAAACTTTTGAAGCCTTCTACCGGAGCAACTGAACATTTTTCCCAAAAAAAAAAAAAAGCTAACATGTTTGCTACTGTTTTAAATTTACTATATTTTGATCGATAAAGCTCGGCTATTTTCGGGATCATTCGCTTCACAGCCGCTCATGACTAAGGGTCCGGGATGGTCCCGAAACTAGTCGACATTTCTCGATTAAAAAACAAGTAAGTTAAACCAGTTGTTATTATATTAAAATATAATGTCTAATTACGAAACTTTTAACAATTCTATAACAACCTTTTATCATCGAACCGCTCGCCGTCGACAAGGAGTTCATCCTCACACGATTGACCCTAAATAGTCGCGTACAGTGTGGTTTTAAAGGAATGAGCTCCCTACCGAGGTTTTCCCCAGACTACAGCATGGGTCTCTTCAAAAAATGTTTATTAAGGTTCCTTCAGGGTATGCAACGCGCACGTGACACCCCTAGTGTTTCAGGCGTCCATAGGCTACAGTGACCGCTTACCATCAGACGGGCTGTATGCACATTGGTGGTATAAAAACAAATTAAAGCCTCCAATATTTATTTGACAGCTGGAACCTTCATAACATGTTGGACTTTACCATAGTATTTTTTTTACTTTTTTTTTATACCACCAAGATGGGCAACCAAGCATACACAGCTCGTCTGATGGTAAACAGTCACTGTAGCCTATGGACGCCTGCAACACTAGGGGTGTCACGTTTTTTTTTTTTTCGTGCCGTATATGCTGTTGGCCGCAGATGGCCTTTACAGCTTCACCGAGCGCGTATGCAGGGGCGAGTGCGGAAGGCACTCCAAGCCCGCGAGAAGGGAGCGACGTTAGGCGTCAGCTCTTTCAGATGGATTGCGGTGTTTGCGCCCGAGGGCGTCCTAGTGACTCGAACTTTGACTCAGGCCACTGCATTTCGGCTCCCATCAGGGATGGGGATCGGTGTAACGAGGGGGGGGGGGGGGGGGTCGCCGTCGACGTTGGCGTACGAGACGGACGAGGGGTGTCACGTGCGCGTTGTCGACTCTGAAGGAACCTTAACACACCCTTTTTGAAAATGTTCAATTTCGATAGTAAAACACTCCATAGGTCGCCAACGATCCAATTACACCCTTTATATTCCTTGATGACATTTCAAAAGTATACAACGAACTAAACCATGCAATAGAAAGACATAAAAACAACACGTTTATTAATACATTTTACAACTTGCACTTAACGTTTCAATTTTGATTCACACAGACTGGCTCGGAGGGGAGAGCAACCTTTAATAGCGTTTAGATCTTTAGATCATTGTAATAAGGTTTATTTTAACATGTATTTATTTAAACTTTTATGCACAGTGTAATTCTCTGTACATATGGCGGACTTAACACCGGCCGGTGTTCTCTACCAGTCGACCATTGGGCGAACAGAGAAATAAGTAGGCGGTGCATTATTGAATAGAGGAAATATATAAAGCAATACTTGATATATTTATAAATATATAATTAGATTGATATAAACATAAATAAATGTTAAATAAATAAAAAT